CCCTGGCTTCTAAAACAGAGAGACATCTGGTTTCTAACTATGGCAGCTAAAAAGTGAAACTGTCTGAGGTCATTCATACTCGAGTTTTCGGATAGCAAAGGCCACAGCAGACTTTTCCCACAACGGCACAAACAATAATTAGAGAGAATGAACCCTTCCATGTGGCCTGCCTGCAGGTGCTTCGCACATCCCCACCTCATCTCCAAACCCAGTTCAGATGTGTCCTCCGTGAAGCCTGAACAGATTCATCCCCACCTCACCCACAAACCACACACCCTCTTCCCTCTTTTAGGTAACAGGAGACCTCAGGGCTCCTCCTCCACACAGCTGTGCTGTATGATGGGCTTTTGTGTTATGCATCTGTATCTTGGGGTCACCCAACCATGGATCCTTTCACTTTAAAAATAAGACCAGGATAATTCTTGTCCCACCAGCCTGATTGAGTTTTAGGGAGACAGTAATGTCCACACGCACAGGCCCAAAGTGGATGGAAGACTCTCTATGGCTAGGTTAAGAAAAGCTAGCTCCATGCCCCAGGCTAACTGGCCATGGGGCCATGCGTGGACAGGACCCTCAACTATGAGAAGAAGTACTTGCAGAAGGACAGTTTAGAACTCGGATCATCCGGTCTTAGTGTTCCTTTCCTGGCTCCACCCTGTGACAAGTCTGCCCATCCAGGACACCACTGACTATGGCATTCTGCCTTTCTGTAGTATGGAGAGGCAGGATGCCCTTACCTTCATCAAGCTGTGGTGGTGCTAGAAGGAGGCTGGCCCCTACCTCCTGAGGGTCAACCTCAGCTAGGAAGAGGGAAGGGAATGATACTATCCTCCTCACGGTACCTGGAACTAAACGGTGCTGAATTGGTTACGAACCCTCCTCTTCCCATGAGATGGTTACTAAGAGGGTCAGAAAGGAATGGTGGTGTGACCCACCTTATCCTTTATCAATCTCCTGGCTAGGAAGTAGGGAAACCCAGGTTCTGCTAACCTAGCTTGGGTTAGGACCTTTGTTCCATAGCCAATGGGGATGGGATGCAAACTTTTCTCTAGTGATGTCTCTGGTACCCTCCAGATGCCCGGCTTCAAGGTGATTCCTCAACTGGACCCGAGACAGGCAGATACAGCCACTCTAGTCTGAAGCTTTTTGTTCCCTTCAGTAACCAATGAACCTTGGGGAGAAGCAACTGAATATTCACCCAGCCCCATTTGAGCCCAACAGACCAGGGCCCTTGACAATAAAATGGCATCCTTTGACTCAGGATGGCAGGACCCTGAAGTGACGTAGGTACCTTTGCAGGTAGAATTGAGTCTACAGATGAGTGGGTCTCCCTGGGATGGTGGCCTCTTCACCTTCGGTTTCCAAGGAAACCATCTTTCCTGGGGTGATCAGGTACTAAAGGCCAGGGTAAGGGTTGGGTCCCCCTCCCTATCTATTGTGGAACTGATAGGAGATGGAGCACCCAAGGGAAAATGCTACATCCGCCACCTTTGGTGGAAGCTGCAGAGTTCTTGAAGAAGTGTGAGCAGTTCAAAGGGCCAGCGAAGCTGAACTCACTTTGGAATACCCATGACCCAGTAGTTCAAGGCCTACTATAGACGAGGCTCAAGATCAACCCAGACATTCCAGTGGGGGTTCTGAACCTCAGACCTCTCCATGTCAGCCTAGGCAAGGTCCAAGGAGGCCACAGTAGCAGCTGGTACCTGGGACACCCTTGTCCACCTCTACCACCAGCAGACAGAGGAGGCGAAGAAAGTAGAGAGCAAGAGAAGGTGGCCAGGGGTTCTAAGAGGTCCGAAGAAGGAGGGGCCGAGAGGGGCAGGCCAGCAAGAGAGACAGCAGAGGCGGAAGCAGGCTGCCGGGGGACACAGAGCTACTGTGCTCCAAAGAGACAGGCTGGTGGAGGCAGCAGCCCACAAACCAATTTATTGTTTATTTTATTACTCTGGGTTGCCGGGCCTTAGGCCAGGGAAGTTATTTCAGGCAGAGATCACAGCACGTTAATTAGTTATTAGAAGAATGTCCTTTCTGTGTGTTCTTCTCGAGACAAGAAATAGAACTTGGTGATGTGGGTGAAACTGAACTGAAAGCGGGTGGACACTCAGGGGGGCAAAAAGCCAACAGTGAGGGGAACCAAGGGGGCAAATCCCTGTTTCTGGAAGGGAAAGGTTCCTCTCAGGGTCGGGCCTCAGCCAGAGATGGGAAGGCTCCTAAGAGCCAGACAAGGGCAGACTTACTGGGGGGGTGGGGCGGGGGGTGGGAGGTGGGGGGAGGGAAGGGTTAGTTGTGCCTACTGCCCTCTTGTAGAGCAACTCTTAATACAGAAAGTTTTTTTCTTTAATCAAATATTTATGAAAAATGCTGCACAACCTTTGGCCCAGTAATTCTGCTTCTGGGAATCTCTGGGAAAAATAAAAAAGGCCGATCTGTAAGGGAGATGCTATTCAGCATAATCTTGTGGTAGCAAACAAAGTAGGAACAACCAGAAACATGCAAAAGCAGTATAGCTAATTAAGAAATAAACTGCATCTATACAAAGTGAAATATTATATAGCTGATAAAAATGATGATTATGTGGGGCGTATTCACACTATAACTATAACTAAAAAAAAAAACCCTAGCATACAAAATTGTATTCATAGCATGACTTCAACAGAGTATAAAACAGCTGTAAGTACAGGGAAGGTAAATATATTATTTTTAATGTTTTCTCCTGGGTTTTAGGTTATGGACAGTTTTGTTTCATTTTCAGATTTATTCTCTTCTTCGCTTTTCTAATGAAACTGTTAGATTTCATGAGAAGGAAGAAAAATGCACAGTTTGGTTTCGGAGAGCCCTTGTGTTACAGCCCCCTTAGCCTGTTAGATAACTTTCCCCCCTCCTGCCCTGCCAGATGACTCTCTCGAGGGGAAACAGCTTTGGAAGCATGAGCTAAATTCAGTTACTGGTGTGAGCGGAAAGAGAGACCCCTTGGGCTTGGAGGATAAGAGAGGGGCGGGAGCTGCCCCCCCTTAGCCTTCTGTCCCCCTCAGATAAGGGATAATGTGGGGTGCCTCACCCAGCCACTTGCTCAGACCTAGTAACAGCCAGGGGTGACTCAGGCAAAATCAGGAGGGGCATCTCCTACACACTTCAACCTTTCTCTGCTCAGGACCCTGCCCTTAAAACACTCGCCTTTCTTCTTCCCTCCCATTTTGCAAGATGGCTGCTGGGAAATTTCTGGAGCTGAGGTCCGGAAGAGAGGCTACCTTGCAAGTGTCCTTGCTGTGGGAAAGAGATGTTCCAATAGCGTAATGTCCTTTGGGTCATGACCAAGGATGATCAGAGGGCCAGGGCGGGCCGTGCAAGGCCAGGAACAGTTTGCAGGTGGCCCACACTTCCCACGAGGCAAAACCCAACAGAGTGGAGAGCGGTGATCACAGAGGATCCCCGTGTACCTGCCACCCAGGTATCTCTGAAACACGTTTGGTACCAATCGGTGTTTAATAAAATGAAGGGCTGATCTTGAATCCAAGATTCTCCCTCTGTGTTTCCAGTTAAATCCACTCAACACTACAGGCAAATTTAGGGTATACATGTATTTTTTTCTAAAGATAGTTCGTTACAGCTTTGATGAGTGTTTTTTTTTCTTTTTTCTTTTTTTTTTTTTTTAAGGAAAGTGACTTAGATTTACATTTTTAAAAATAAAGTGAAAAGCAATGGGTTCATCTCTCATATTTAAAATAGAATCGACAAACCATCATCCCCCGCTGGACCGCCACTTTGGAAATCATCTGACCTTGTCAAACTGCAGGTCAAGTGGACAGCCCAAGACTGTCCACTCCACAAAGACAAACTTGACCTGGTGCTCTGTTCAGACATGACAGGTTAGCAGGATGCACAACACTGCTCCCAGAAGTCCAGCACTGAAGAAAATTAGTCACTGGGCTGTCAACTCTCCTGGTCTCCTTACCAAACAAAGCACATGGCGTCACAAATGCCAACCCAGAAATAAAAGAAGGGCTGCTGCTTCTGCGGGCAAGCAGCCTCGACTCTAGGAGGGTACCAGACCCTGCCTCCACACTTTACGAGTGTGACTCTCAGCACACAGGTCCACAAGTACTCCTCCACCTCTGAAAAAGCAGCCTGGCCTGGCAGACTGTGCACACTGAGGACACAGAGAGAGGCCTGTTCCTCCGAGATAGGGACGTTCCTGACTCTGGGGGAAAATACACAGACCTCTGTCTCTGAATGCCTGCAGACTTCTTGAGGATGCCTCCAGCCCCTACATTCTGTCATTCAAAGGAAAGGAAGACACATTCTTCAGGTTATCAGCATTTAGCGAACATTTCCTCACATGCACGGAGGGCTACATCCCAGGTCTGCATCCCAGGTCTGCATCCCCACGCCCCGCGGCTCTGAACCATCCCTTCCCCTCCCCATCACCTCTGCCACCTCACCTGCAAAGTCAAGGGGCATGTCAATATCTCACGAGTCTTTAATATTATTGAACTATTAAGATCAAAGAAGGAAACATTATATATAAAAAGTGTTCTCTTTCTGCACTTGCTTCATATCCTTTGAGTCTCTAAGATATAGGTCTAGAAGCTCTGTCACACAGGAGGGAAAATGATAAAAGAACAAGTGGCCCCAAGGTCCACAGCCCAGCCCCACTGCCAGGCCTGTGGCCATGAGAACAGCTCAGCTGCAAAGGTAAGGCTGCCACACAAGACGAGAGGTCCTGGCCAAAGAAAAGGTTATGACACCCCCAGGACCTTGAGGCGCCTGGCTCCTTCTGTGCCTCAGTTTCACAAGGCACAAATCAGACAACAGAGGTGAGTCTTAATTTGAACGCGTCAAACTGACCAAGGGCTAAGAACAGCGGAGAGACATCACGCAGGACTCAATGGGAGACTTGGTAGCAGGGTCCACTTTTGGGGCCTCCCACAGGGATTTCTTCAGAGCCCTTAATCAAGACTTTTCATGTCACCCCGAAGGCTCAGCCCCCAGCCGTGGCTCACCTGATGAAGGTGGTCTTCCCAGTAGAGTACTGGCCCACCAACAGGACCATGGGCTTGTTGTCGAAATCAGCATCCTCCAGGGCAGGTGAGTGGAACTCATGGAAGCGGTAATATTCTTCCAGGGGCAGCAGCTTGCTTTTGTAGAGTTTCTTGAGCCCCTCACTCACCGTCTGGAAGACCTCGGGGTCCTTCTTGCGGCGATCATCGTTACCCAACCAGCTGAACATCGTGGCAGCTGGGAGAAGGCTCCAGGGAGAGGTACCCGCCTGGGTCGAGCCGCGGCCACCTCACCGGAGCACCAGGCTCAGATGCACCATGGCCGGAGCTGCCCCAGCTGCTGGACCCAGCCCAGCCCCTGCTTCATCCGCAGCTAAGCTGGGGAGGAGGATGCTGCCGGCTGAGCGCAAGAGAGCTGCAACCTTGGAAATTAAAAGCAAACCTGTCAGGGAACGGGTGCAGGGGACCCTGGGTCTCCCCAGATGCGTGGCTAGAGGATGCTCGGGCTCCCCTGCAGTGGTGCCCAAGCAGATCGGAGTAAGCGGCGGCGCACAGGGCTCCGCATCCGCAGCATCCCGCCGCCCCCGGCGCGCGTTTAAATGCCAGTCGTGCAGGAAGTCCCCGAGAACTGGCAAAGCCCAGCCGGCCCCACGGTCCGGGCGCCGCGAAGCCGAGCAGGGCGCCGCCATGTCTGTGGGCAGACGCTCTGCGGCCGCGTGGACTCTGTCTGCCCTGGGGATTTGACTTAGGAGCAGCGCCCTCTCAGGGGCAGGAATGGCGCCTAAGACAGCCTTGACCTACTACTACTCTACCTGTTTGGAGACCTAGTTCCTTTGGTTACTGAGGCCGCTTCCCTGGGGACACTAGTACTGAGGACTGTTTATTTGGGAAGAACTCCACTGTTGGGGAGTATTTTTCTTGGGGCATGGAAAGAAGGCTCTGATGCCAGGTGGCATAAAATAACCAAAATTACCAGAAACTAAACTTTTCACTAGGGCCCGGGGTGAAGTCAAAACAGGTAAACCAGGAAATCACGCACCGGCAGGGAGTGTGCTAAGGGGCAGCGACATGATTTGCACAACTCCACGCAAAGCCGAGCGCAGCAAGGTAGAATTACAGCAGACACGAGAAGAGGGGCATGGAAACGGGGAATCATCTCTTGCTTTTCTTTGGAAGATCTGTAGGCGTCACAGGAAACATGGCTGTGAGAAGATGGAGGAAAAGAAGGCATTTGGGGCCAAGTAAAGGGCCTTTGGAAAGGGGGTCGGGGGTGGGTGGGGTGGGGCTTGGTGAGTCCAGGGCGGTGTGTTCAGTTTGGCAGAGCTTCTTTCAAGAATGTGGAAGGGATGGTTGAGGGCAGGTATGGCAGGATGTGCACACCAAGACGCGAGCCAAACAAGAAATGGGAAACCCAGCGGGGCGGTGGTGGCGCACGCCTTTCATCCCAGCACTCGGGAGGCAGAGGCAGGCGGATCTCTGTGAGTTCGAGGCCAGCCTGGTCTACAGTGCGAGGTCCAGGAAAGCACAAAGCTACACAGAGAAACCCTGTATTGAAAAACCAAAAACAAAAAAACAAAAAACCAGGAAATGGGAAACCCACCATGACAGCATTACCAGTCATTGCTATATTAACAAAATGCTCACCGCTGAGATCTCAGAAAACAGCTTCAGCTCAACATCATAGCATACCCGTGGGGAAGATCTTAGCACGTGATCTCTAGCAATGCCAAGGAGAGTGGACCAATGACCAGGTGTGTGTGTGGGGGGGGCAACAACATCGAAAAAACTCAGTGATGGCATTGACACTATTTTTTTTTTTTTTTTTTTTTTGGATTTTCGAGACAGGGTTTCTCTGTGTAGCTTTGGTGCCTGTCCTGGAACTCACTAGGTAGCCCAGGCTGGCCTGGAACTCACAGAGATCCGCCTGGCTCTGCCTCCCGAGTGCTGGGATTAAAGGCGTGCGACACTATTTTAACCAGTGCAATGGCAAATCATCCCTTCCTACTAAGGCAGAGGGCTCCCACTGCCCTCCCTTCAGCAGACAAGACAAGTCGCTAACGGACCGGGTGGGGCTGGGGAGACTGGGAGCAGAGGAGGCTGGGAGAAACTGTCTAGAATGTTAGAGAACGCAGCAGCGATGGAGGAGGAGAAGAGGTCAGATTTAAGAGACTCCGGCATAGAATTGACAGCTTGATAAAGAGTGGAAGAGGAAAGGATGAGGACTCAAAGCCTAGGGTCATTTCAGATTTTTCTACTGCTGGGAACCAGGCAGTTGGGACAGCTCTTGCAGTAATGGAGGAAGTTGGCAAGGGGGCAGAATGAGTAGAGAGAGGATGTGTTTGAGCTACAATGGGTTGCCCTCGAAACAGGCCTGGGTGAGTGCCTGGTGCCTGGATGTGCTGACACTGTGGGATTTCTGTGGGGACCATTAGAGACGCTGCTGAATAGAATGTCCTTAGTTCAGGTCTCCTGACACCCTTGTTGAACCCCAAAGTAGACTTTCTTCTTCTGAGCCCTGTAGCTAGAGCCGAGAAGTCACTCAGATTCACGTGTTACATTAGCCCCAACCTGCGAACCTAAGAGACAATATTACAGCTACTTGATGACCCAGTGGCGCAGGAAGGGAAATCCAAACTGAACTGTCTACGAAAATTAACAAAGTGGAGCTGGAGTGTATATAGAACCATGGTCCACAAACAGCTTTGATATTCCACCCACGAGAAGGATAGTGAGGAGGTAGTGGGGAGGAGGAAACGGAAGGAGAGAAACCAATTATGAGAGCAATGGCTGAACATAAATTATGGGAACCAGTCCCGGTGGATGCCTTTTCATGGTAGCAGTGTACAGGTAAGATGATGTGGTTTTAGCCCAGAGATAGACCGATGCAATACTAACAGAGACACCTGATATACACAGAAGTTGCTGTATGCATGTCTGTTACCACAGGCCAGGAAGAAACCCTTAAACAAAACCCCAGATGCAAACAGCAAATGGGAAAGAATAATACTTGGAATTAGGAAGAAATAAGAAGGCTGAAGCAGGAGAATCACAAGTTCAAGGCCTAGGCCTGGAGAGATGCATGGCAAGGTAAAGCCCTTGCCATGAAGCCTGAAGCTGGGAATTTGGGTCCCCAGATCTCGAATAAAAGCAGGGAGGGTGTGTGGCCTGCCTGTAATCCCAGCACCCAGGCAGAGACAGGGCCTTCTTGGAGTATGATGTCTAGTCCAACTTAGCCAAAACTCTGGGTTCAACAAGGGACCCTGCCTCAAAGTATAAGGTGGGGAATAATGGAAGAAGACGATGTTGACGTCAGAGTTGGCATGGACGCAAACAATACATTCACACCCAACTCCCCACAGGTGTGTCCACAAACCAGCAAACACACATATGCACATTTGTATATACCAGATATGCAGGTATATATTAAAAAAGCTCAAGGCCTGTGCTACAGAATGAGTTCAAGGTCAGCCTGGGCAGCTGTCTCAAAAACTTCAACAGAGATGGGCTGTAATTCAATGGAAAAAGCAAAGCACTTACCTAGAATGTACCAGAACTTAGGTTCACTATCCAATCACACACACACACACACACACACACACACACACACACACACACACACACACACCCCTGAAGAGCAATATATATATATATATATATATATATATATCATAAAAAGCATCCTACTTCCTGTAGGTCCCCTGGATCTCAACTTGGGTCCCACCCAACATTTTGCAGCAGCATTTATTTCTAAAACCTCTTGCTCCAACCCAGCAAACAACCCTTATGCTGACCGTGTGTGTGTGTGTGTGTGTGTGTGTGTGTGTGTGTGTGTGTGTGTGTAGGGGGTGGTGCTCAGTCATACCACCCGTAACAGAGTCCAGGTTCTGCCCCCTTGGTCTTTGGTAGGCACCTCTAAAGGCAAGCAGCTTTATGTTCAGGCCTCAGCTCTCCCATTTGCATGGGTGGTGGTGACAGCATTGTTTTTCTGGATTAAAGGAGAGAATACTTAAAGCATGCTTAGCTCATTGCCTGTCCTACAAAGAGAGACTCTCTGTATCATTAGCACTTTAGTATAATCACTCCAACTTTTATTCACTTCATGCTACTGCCCTGTGTCATGTTTAATAAGCTATTTAATAAGCTACTGATAAGGTTAATACTCAATAACTTTAATATTTAATAAGTTACTTAATAAGCTAGCACTTAACAGGCTATGAGCGGCTCCATCCGGTTCGTTTGTGTTCTAACTGAGGGTGGCTCATTGACTCCAAGGAATATAATTGCTAATAGCGGGAGCTGTGACATTCATGCAATCCTTTGGGATGTCCTAGGAAACAGGCCTTTCTCTACTCCTTTCCTTCCTCTTCCCTTTGGCTCCAAGACACGCCAACACCTGGAAAGAGGAAAAGGGAGAAGATGGAAAGAAGGGTGGCGATCTAGGATGAAAGCTTGAGCCCTTCCGGGGGAAGTTAGAGGAATCAGGAAGTACCATCCGGGCACAGCCAATCACCTGCAATCAGGGTAATTTTAGGTCCCCCTCAGCTTGTCGCCACCCGACCCCTGCAGCTCAGTGGGCCTCCTAGAACTTCACATGCATAAGCAAGGGTCTTAGTTCTGAGACTCCGGCTTCTACCATGCATACTTCCTTAGAAGCCCTGCCCTCAGTAACTCAGTCCATTCCGCGTCTCTCTAATGGGCTGCCTACATCAGGCTCCACTCCACCCTTCAGTGTCTGTTCTGAAGAGTTGAGTCGATACCTTGACCAGAGGAGTAAACTGTGCTCCTCCTCCTCTCCATTTCCAGACCACCTCACATGATCCCCATGACTTCATTCATCCCACTTCACTGTATGTGTGTGTTGCGGCCACTTGTCTTCCAAGGGGACAATGTATGTCTTCCACCTGGTACCGTAGTCTAACCCCTCACCCCCCCCCAAAAAAAAAAAAAGAATCCCAGTTACTGGAGAAAATGCCCCTGGCTAGCCAGTTGTTTCTACTGAGAGTCATGTGAGCTGTATCATTCTGAGTTGTGCTGCTATAACAGAAAAACCCAGGCAAGGTGATTCATAGTGACTATAAATTTATATTCTCATAGTTCTAGATGGCGGCAAGTCTAGAATCCAGAGGCAGTCATTTGACAGATCCTTTCTGCTATATCGTCCCATGGAGGAAGGTCAAAGAAAAGTTGAGAGAATAGGATATTAAACTTGAGGCCTCAAGGCCTTTTATCG